CGCATAAATCGATAATTAACGTATAAACGAACATATTCCCTTTTGTTTTCTTCTGTTACTTGTATATCTTTTCCACCAGGTTTTAATTCGTGATTTTTCAAGACACCAAAACTACTGTGTTCGACAGAAAATGTGGCATCCAATACACCATCTATGCTATTTTCTCTGTTAACATAAAAAAAAAAGAAATATTAGAATATTTTTTTGAAAGATAATGTAATTGTTTACTTACAACATCCATGTAAGACTTCTGTGTAACTCAGGATCAACACCTTCTATATCACTAAGAGTAATGGCTTTATTAAGTAGCATCTTATAGAATGGCGTGGTGAAACCACCATCTATATGATGACCATGAAAAACTGCTATTCCTATGATTCTTCCAGCAAAATGAAAATATGATAAATGTTCTGGATTTATTCCTGAATCTGGATTTATTTGTAATGTGTAATTGTCATCTCTTGAATATTGAAACAGTCCATATTGAGGGTTTAACATTTCATGGGATAATAAATAAAGCCATTCTCGTGCTACTCCACCATAATCGAGACCTTCTTCTCCTCTAAATTTAACCATAAGTCTTTTACGCATATCTTTTGGACGCATTTTCATAATCAGCCTATAAGATTCCTAAAAGAGATTAAAATAATTTTAATACAAATCCAATTAAAATGAAATATTGTAAATATTTCATATTGAAAATAATATTCTATTTACTTCAAATATTTCATTTCTTGATACTTCCAATCTACAATGTCCACTTTGTGGTTGAAGTGCATTTAATTCTGCCCTTAGACATTTTAATTTAGCTACTAAATCCCGCTTATATTTTGGAAGAAGTTCACTTTCCATAAGTTCTTTTGGCAAATCTGATACAGTTTGCGTTGGCGGTGTTGAAGTTTCCACTAATGTAAAATAATATATTTAATAAATAAAATTAATGAAATAATTATTTTATTATTTAAACTTACACGTAGGTGAATTATTATTGCTTCCATTTTCAATTCTTGGCCTTTGTTGATTAGTAGAAATTTGTGGTGGTATAGATGATACAGGAGTCTCTACTGCTACTGATTCATTAGTTGCTGCAGGTGAATTATTAGGATTTCCAGAAACTTGATTGTTCGTGCTATTGTTTTGCCTCCTACTGATAATTAATTCAAACGTTAAATTTTGTTAATTATACGACTGTTAATTTGTAAGAATATCAATAAATGTAAAAACTTACTTCAATAGATTACTTATGATTTGGCTAGAGAGCCGAGGATCTGTAAATTGTGTTGTTCTGTTGTTATGATCTACAAAATATACACGTCCACTTTGAGTTTGTCTCATTTCCCATCCACTGGGTAATGGACCAAGTTCGGTTGTTAATTCATTGGCTGGTAAATCACGTGGTATTCGGGGATCATGCCACGTTGATGTTCCAGTTGGAACATGATAAAAATATACTTGTCCTTGTTGAGTTTTCCTCATTTCTATAGAAAATAAATATTACGTTTTTTTTTAAGTATACATTCAATATGATCAAATAATTTATTATTAAAAATTAGATATTTATTTAATGTACCATATCCTCGGGGTAAATCCGTAGGTTGAAGAGATTCATTTCTTCTTTCAGCACTGAGCACTGCATTATTCCTATTTCTGTTGCTTCGATTAGGCCTTCGTGGTTGACCGTTGTTAGAACGTTCTATACGACTATTTTGATTTCCATCTTGTTCATCGTTGCTTCTAACAGGTCGTCGATCTCTTATTGCAGACGACGGGGGAGTATTTCTTATATGCTGTTGACTTTGTTGACTCCTATTTTGTTGTTGCGTTGGTGTATTCCTAGGAGTATTTTGAGCTGAACTATCTCTGCTCGGAGTTCTGCTAGATGTTCCTTCTCCATTCCATTCTGGTGTACTTTGTAAAACAGTAGGACTGTCTGTTCTCACATTTGGTGGACTACCACTGCCACTGGGAGAAGTAGGCTCTGAATTAGGTAATGGTGGTGGTTCTGGAGTGGTCGGTATGATAGCATTGCTAGGCCTAATAGAAACAACAAATATTAGAAAAATTGAACTAATAAAAGTTGTAATTATTTTGAATATTTAAAACAACAATAATACCGATTATTTGGACGTATCCATTGTGTTGTTCTGGTATAATGATTAATATAATATAATCTTCCTCTTTGAGTTCTTCTTTCTTCCCAACCATCTGGTAGGTCAGTTGGACAACTCAAATCACCAAGAACATCAACTACAGCATTATGGACAACCGTGTTACTCACAGCACCGTTATGTCCATCTCTAGATAACAAAGATACAACTATTTGCCCTTTGACAACATCTGTATCTTCGGAATGAGCTTTGCAAAGGTCTAAACGTTGATCTGAAAGTAGATAATATATTTACTTTTTATATTATCTATGATTGATAATTTGAAGATAGCAACAACCAAAATAATGTTAACAACTTACATCCGGTATCTTTCAATCTTTGTATCGTGTTTGATAATATACGCACACATCCTAAAAAACCGCCACCTTGTTTCTTATGGATTTTTCTATGATTCCAAACTGATATCGTTATGCCATCATTTTTCCCAATGTATCTGTACAAATATAATTTTCATATAATATATACATGAGATAGATAAATGTAATTTAACTTTATGATAAACAATTATTTACAAATCATAGTGTTGATTCCATTTTGGAGCTAATGTGGCCTTGCAAGTATCTGTACTGTGACACTGACCGGAACCATCAACTGTTATTTTAGCAAAAGGATCAGGCAGGCCTAAATACAAATTATTATTTTAATTGTAATACTTTGATGAAAAATACAAAGTTAATGCACATTGTAAATAATACTCACGAAATAGATCTTTTCTAGCAAGATTACGGGCACATAAAACTGAAAATATGAAAATGTTGTTATTTAAATGTTAGATTGAATTCTCTTTTTAAAGTTGTTCATTACAAACCATATTTTGATATATTACTACCATATTGAAAAGTTAACAGAATGTTATTTCATAGTAAAACATAAAAGTAATGGTAAATAAATGATAAGAAAGAGAAGATTTAAAAAGTTCAAAGGATTAATTAAAAGCCTTGTTGGAAAACAACGTTTAATATCATGTTTGATGAAGTTTCTTTTATCTGAGTAGAATGAAAAAAAAAATGAAGCATTCTAATAATATTATACTTCATATATACCCTATATCACATTCAATTGCAATTAAATATATATATATTTTAATAATTTACAAAATTGATAAATAATTTATTAAAACTATATTAGAAATTGATATTAGAAAAAATTGTGAAAATAAAGGATTGTATAAAAAATGGGTATACAAATTTGTAATAAAGATGATTGATACAATTTGTAGATCGTTTCAATCGGTTACACACTATAGGCGTATAATCGAGGGAAGAGCAATGATAGTAGGGGAGAGAGAATAAATAATTAAATCGAGAGTAGATAGGAAAGAATGAACTTCGATTGAGAGGAAACGAACGTCCTTCTCGAAGGAGCCCTCCCGGAGCGTTCCTATCCGTGGGGTTTTGACCTCTGTCAGGGAGTTGCCATAACCAAAAGAATGAAAATCATAGTAAGAGGAGTATTAAATGAGTCTTAAGGTGGGGTGAAGAGAAAGAGAGAGACAGAAAGAGAGTGAGAAAAGAAAAAGGATCTGTTTAAAAAAAAAAATAATTGAAATAATAGTTGCATTTTGACATTTATCGAATGCACTGTACAGGTTATGTTTAAATTCAAATAAAATAATTATTTCGTTTATAGAAAGTAAAAAAGAAATTAAACGCGTATATGAGGATGATAATAATAAGGGTAATAAATGGTGTGTGTATGTATGTATGTGTGTGTGTGTGTGTAGGTGTACGAGTGGATAAGGTTAAAGTGAACGAACCTAACGAAAGGAAGGTAGGAAAAAGAAGGATTGCGGATGATGGATAGAAAAAAAAAAAAGGAAGAAGGATCGGAGTCGCGTGCAAGTTGTGAGTTAGGCCAACTTTCACGCTACTTCTCTCCTTCTTCTATCCACGATACCACACGACATGGATTGGTATCACAGTTAGGTTCCAAATCCTATTATTTCACTCACTCGTCAAACGAATCTTCATTGCTCCGTTCCTCCTGCTACCGCCGGGATTCGACATTTTTCACAAACATTTAACGATATTTAACCGCACATCGGCACACTAAATTAGTAAATAAAAGTATATATTTTCTTACGCGATAATATACATCACACACGCGCAACGATCTACGATCGACTGACCTGTGATCGACTCAATACGATACTCGATTTAATTTAACTACCGCTTCGATATATCGCGAGAATTTAGTCGCCATTTTCTTGTATCGTTACTTCGAGATTTTGCCCGCCAGTTTCAATTGTCCGGTTTGTTTTAATAATATATTAATTTTTTTATTGTCATTTAACGTGATTATTGTTTTATATATTTTTTTTTATTAATTTGTCGAGAGTTTGTGTTAGTCTCTCTTTTTTTTTATTATATTACAATTTTTAATTATGGCATGAAATAATACATGGAGATTTTTCCCGTCATTTTCAATTGTCCGATTTATTTTAACTATGTTTCTTTTTTTTTCGTCATTTAACGCGATTATTATTTTATATATTTTAATTAATTTGTCGAGAATTTGTTTTATTCTTTTTTTTATTATATTACAATTTTTAATTATGGTATGGAATAATACATTTTTTTCCTTATAACTTCAACATGTGTATATTTTAATTTTGAAGATATATTTTTGACAATAAATTATTTAACTAATTATATTTTTTTTTATAGATTTATAGAAAAATGTAATTAATATCAATATTTTTGTTCGATATTGTATATACGTGATATTATAAATTCATTGATTGAACGATTATATATTATCGATTTATTATTAATTTTATCGTAGTAGCATTACAAAATATACATAAGAAGGAAAAAATAAATTGCTTACATATATGTATGATATTTTCTTTTTTTACATTAGCAATATGTGTATCAAAATTACGTGTAATTTGTTTTTATAAAACGACACACTTATGTCCTAGAATGTGATTAGGGTGTATTATAATTATCGAACATGTAATTTGTGACAATAAGAATTCATTTTTATCCGCTAAACTTATTTCTAAAAAAAAGAGATTGACGCTCAAAATTTGGGTAAAAATAATATTTTTTTTCTGTATAAATATCTCAATATAAATCTGTAATCTTCTTTTTCTCTATAAAAAACTGTACTGTAAATTGCAATAAGATATAAATCAGTATTGTAATCAAGGTTTTTCATTTTTTACATAGAAAGGATGTTACGTGTCATATAAATTTTGAATTCCTCTTTTATTTTTATATATTTATATATTATATTGACAATTTCACGAAGTAAATAATGTTGAATAATTGTTAATAGCAAAAATAAATGGATTTTATATATTCTTTTTGTTTTTTTTTTTGTTATTTCTTTTGTACTTTAAATATATTTCGTCCGACCTCTAGCCTATTTTTTATTTGTGATTTAATAATAAGCGTAGTTTCGTTTCTTGACGTTTTCATTTTGTGAAACGCAAATTATTGAATATGTATATATATATATATATATATATAAATATAAATATACATATAAATAAAAAATAAAAAAAAATGAAAAAAAAGAAAGAGAGAGAGAGAGAGAGAGAGAGTCAGCTTTCTTTGGCAGTAAAATGTAACATCGATAACACTTCTTAATTAAAAAAATGAAATATGTCAGCATTTATTATTAAAAATCATTGAATGCCGACTATGTAGAGTCCCTCGATAATGTTGAAAGATGTTTGTACTTTTTTTGATCTTTTTTTATTTTTTAAGCTTCTCCTTTAAACGTAAGGAAAGCATCAACGAGGAAAAGTACACCTTGAATGATACTAATGGATCCTTTTGCTAAGCCTGTATCACGAAAAGAGGATTTATAAGCAAATTGATCGAAATGTTTGATATTCAAAGCACCAGCAGTTATGAATAAAGCGCAACCAATCAACGAGAAGAAAAGGTCCTACAACATAAACGAAAAAATATAATCATTAAAATGTAACATATAAAACGTATGTATTATATATATGTTCATTGTATTGATTATTAGATTGAAATCAATGTTTATTGAAACAAGAATGAAAAAATAAGAAAAAAAAAGAAATATAAATGTAGTATAGTTTTGATTGTATATATATTACAGTTAGATATTATTTTCAACGTACCACACGTCGGTTGACCGGAGTTGCCATTATACTGCCAGCAAACAAACCAACTAGAATAATGAGGTATCCACCAAAGGTACCCATTGTGATCATAGCTGTATGCTGATCTCCCGCGTTAAAGGAATTATAATGCAATCCGATAAGAACGCATACCAAGATCTGGAAAAGTCAATATACATATATATCTGTATATCTATATATCTATATATCTAAAAAGTCAATATTATATACATAAGTATATATGAAAAAATACGTTCTATGTTACATATAGGTGGATAATAATATATATATATATATGTATCTATTTTATTATATACATTATATATATATGTTATAATATAATTAATTATAATTTAAAATAAATAAATAATTAATAATTATATATAAATTTTGTAAAAATTATTAAATATATTAAATATTATATATAATTTAAATATAAATAAATATATATTATAAATAAATAGGATATATATTATTTAAAATAAATAATTAATAATTATATATAAATTTTATTAAAATTATACAAATTATTAAATATTATATATTATTTAAATATAAATAGTTAATAATTATTATATAATAACAATAATAATAATAATAATATATATTTTATTCATTCACTATCATTAATACTCCTTCCCTTTTTTTCAAACCAAATTTGTGTAAAAAAAAAGTTATAAATATAAATAATTTTATAATTATTGTACAAAATGTAATATAAATGTACAACTTTAAAATTGGAATGAAAGTAACATTAAAAATACTGTAATAGTTTTTTTTTTATCAATAAACGAACTAAATGAGGTCATTGAAAATAAGTATACTGTTGTCCATCGATATTACTATAAATAATACATTAGAGCTTTTAATGTTTTGTTCCAGTTTAAAGACTTCATTCCTATTTCCAAGACTATTCGTTCAAGCAACAGGTAAGTATTTTCATTATGGACGATAGTACAGACTCGAATCGTAATCTAAATGACACATATATACATACATACATATATGTACTTATGTATGTACGAATGTACTTCTTCGAATACCATTCTTGGATCATCTTTTAATGTTATATTCATGACGTTTCTTCAACTAAATTAATTAACCAAGAAAATAATATGGCGCCATAAATATTATACAATCTATGTGAGTGTATGCATAATCGTTAACATATTATTACAAAAATGAATAAAAATCTTGCATTTAATTGTAAATTTTTATTTTATTTTATTACGCACTCTTAATGATAAATTTATCAGAAAGATGATTCACAAGATGACTACCTTGTATTTTATCTCGTATTACGAATAGTTTTGTTTAATGAACTTTATGATCGAAGTATTATCATTATTGAATTTAAATAATATTTGTTATAACTTTTTATATTAAATTTATTGTAAAAAAATCATTTCATTATCTTTTTTATTATCTTTTTTAAAGTGTTAATTTATATTTAATATAAAATTTATATATCTATGATCATTATTATTAATTATTAACTCTTTGAGTGGTGAATACTTTTAACTAAAATGTTTTATAGAAACGGAATAATTTATTATTAATTAGATTCTAATAATAAATTATATTTAATAATTAAAGTTGTTCTTTCTGAATATAATTTCATTAATTAATATAAACATTGCATTATTTTATATTAATATTAACAAACACGTATATACATCGATAGACTACTCTGGTAATTTTTACCAAACGCATATATGCGTCTATAGCACTCTAAGGGTTAATTAATATTTTAATAATTAATCATAATGTATATACTTTAAAAGTAGTATAATAATAAAGTGTTGTAAATATACTTACAAGTTCAAAGAACTTGATGATAGTAAGCCTCGTAATGTTAACCATTTTTATTTATCTGAAAAAAAAACAATCAATAATTATTAATTATTTAAACGTGTAAAAATATAATTTGAACAAAATAATTTGATGACAATGTTTGAATTGACACAATCATATAAGAAATATTAAACCTTTTTACCAATTAAGAAATCTTGTTTACACACATACACATATAAAATCATGCTATTTTATAAACGAAAGGCTTAACGAGTCTTATTTTCCGCGTATTGCGAAACCGTTATATAATCTATTGTATGCTATTATCAGATCAACCAAATGAAATTGTGTGTGTGTGTTGACGAGCAAAATAAATAAAATTTCTTTCCATTCAATTAAACGTCAAATTAAATCAATTCTATTCAACGTAACATACAAAATAATATTTTTAAAAGAAAAAGGAAACAAATTGTGTTCGATATTAGCATATAAACAAAGAGACAATAGTTTTTGCTTATGGACATGAGTTTAGAAAAAAAAAAACAACTTAAAGTTTATGAATTATTGATAGACTTTATATGAGAAAAGTTAAACTTTTAAGATCAATATAAACTTGCAATGGTTGTGAACAGTCTCGTGATACCAGAGGTGACTGGTTTTTTTTATGATCATTTATAATGATAATAATAATAATATATAAACTGATAAGACAGTATTTGTTTTTATCTTAATTTCTTTTATTTAATTATTAACACTTTAATGGCCGCACGTTTACGAAGTCAAACGTCACCTGGGACCCGGTAATATTTTTGATATACAATTTAATATATAGTATATAATATATAACTTTTTATATATAAGTAATATAAGTTATTTTTTATATATATAACTAAATATATATATATATATATATATATATATATATGTAAGTTATAAAATATATAACTTCATTTAAATTCACGAAAAAAAATTAACATAAAACAAAAAACAATTTAAAAACAAACATTTAATTTTATATAATTTTGAATATATATAAAGTTATAAATAAATAACAGCCAATAACAGTTGTTCTGGTTATCACACACATGTTGTGTGAGCGGCCATTTAATTATTAAGGAGTTAACATATTAAATTTGTCAATAAATCAAATTAAACGTTTTTTTTTTTACGTTTAATTTGATCAAATCGAAACGTAGTTGGTATTAGGTCGGACTGACGTAACCTTATACTACTATACTGTTCTTTTTATAGTAATGATCGGATACGAGATGATTATTGTTGATCGTATATCCTCTTGATGGATCAAAGATCAATTTTAAGATGGTATATAAATTATTTTTAATCGAGATAAATAAACAACGAGTAATCTAAACATTCAGAATAAAAAGGTGTGTATATACAGGGTGATTCACCAGCCCTTACCACTTAAATAGCACCATATGTATAATTGCACCATAAAAGTGGATAAGAAAAAAGTTGCATGAAAAATGCAGGACTACAATATGACATTAGTATTTTTTTGCTAGGTTAAGTCATTTTCGAGATTTATTTGTAAACTTTGTTTTTTTAAATACAATGTTATATTTAAATACTTATTTTCGGATAGTGGCTGACAAGACGAATTCAATGATGTGCAACATTAAATACAAAACCTGACAATGACCAATAAAAACTATTCGGAAAATATCTGTTCCGTCCGTTGTCGGAACAACTGAAGTATAACGCAACCTTGATGCAACCCTGATACGACCACAACGCGACCATGACGAGAAGAGCTGTATTGTGGTCAGCTTGTTTGTCAGTTTTAATCTTCGTTGAACTTCCAAAATATTAATGTTGCACATTATTGGATTCGTCTTGTCAGCCGCTATCCGAAAATAAGTATTTAAATATAACATTGTATTTAAAAAAACAAAGTTGACAAATAAATCTCGAAAATGACTTAACCAAGCAGAAAAATACTAATTTCATATTGTAGTCCTGAATTTTTCATGAAACTTTTTGTTTATTCACTTTTCTAGTGCAATTATACTTTCAGAGTTATTTAGGTGGAAAGATCTGGTGAATCATACTGTATATATTATAATATATTTACCGTATATTATAAATCTTTCGTATTTTAATGAAATTTCTCTTATTAAATAAATCTTTTTCTACGTATTGAACTTGTCAAAAAAAATCGATTAAAAGTTGCGTAACGATAGGAAACGATATAACCATCGATCATTTGACATAAACGAGTTTTTAATTTAACAATTTATTTTTTGTATATTTGGTGTTTCAAAAAATAAAAAATAAAAAATCATATTTCGATGTTAAAAATATAAATATGAAAATAATACTCTCGTACAACAAGATTTGTCTTTTTTTTTATTTCTTTATGTTAATCTTTTTCTCTTGGTTCTTGATACGGAAAGATTCAGAATATAAAAACGAGATGTAATTAAAGTACTATATATATATATATATCTTTTCCTCTTTTTCTCTTTCCAGATAAAAAAATTACTGAACGAATGGGATAAAGTATGTATATGTGTATGTGTGTATGTGTATTCATATCTGTTTTTTATTTTGTCAGTTGAGTTTTATTAAAGTCAGACTGTGTGACGCTTTTAAGTTGGGTCAGTGGAACGAAGCACTCATGGCCATGGGGCACCAAAGATGGATAGAATGTAAAAGAAATTAGTAATACCTACATACCTATGTACGTACAAGGTATGTATGTAAATATTTCTATGTGTATGTGTAATATTGCGTATTTTCTTGCATGCTTATACTATGCGTCAGACTCTAGAACATTATGTCATACAGAGTTTTGTTTATTTTTACAGTAATCGTAATATTATATTATTCATAATAATTAATAGAATATCATAATATTTAATTTTATATATTATTAAATTATATATATATATATATATAGATTATGTTAATAGTAACGTAGTTTAATAAATAACTTATATTTTGTAATAATGTTATAATTACAAAAATATAATATATAAATGGTAATATTCAATTTATATATATATATATATTAATTATATAATAATATATAATATTAATATAATATAATAAAATATAATATATAATTAATATAATAATAATATATAATATATAATTAATATAATATAATAAAATAAATATATAATAATTAATTATAATATATATAT